TTTTTTTTTTTTTTTTCTAAATACAGGCTCAATAAGATGGAGAACAGAGAAGAAATTGTTGTCAAACATAAAAATATGAATTGAATTTCTTCCTTTTCAATGGATCCTTAACATTGACTTGACCATATGGACACTGCAGAAGAAATAAAACAAACTATTATTGAATTATTTAACAAGCTTCTTGAAAAAGTGTAACACTTCTCATAGTGAAAAAAAGAGGCTGCTAATAATGTTATATAGATCATTTGATCTATTGGGTCCTGCTGACTAAGAGGAGAATAATGGCAACCTCTGGCAAATGGTCCTAATTAGGGTCCAAGAATCACTTCCTAAAGGCATCCTTCCAACTTCAAGAATTTTACTGTCAAAAACTCACTCTTAGAAAATTCTCAGGTCCTCAATTTATGCAAGGCTCTTATGCATTTGATTAGAAACAGCTAATGGCACAGGTAGAAACACACATAAATGGGAAGGCTTAATTTTTCATTACTGGCTATAGTTAATGCATGCATTTAATGTTTATTCCTTCATTGTAAAGTTGGACAGTTAAAGGAAATAATACCTCCTTACCCCAAAACATACAGTCAAAATGGTCTGTAAATAGAGGTTGTTATCTGTTTATAATCTTAATGCTATAACTATTTACCTTACTAATATGCTTTTTAAAATTTTTTTTTAATTTTTTTTAATATTTATTTATTTTTGAGACACAGAGTGAGACAGAATACAAGCAGGGGAGGGGCAGAGAAAGAAGGAGACACAGAATCTGAAGCAGGCTCCAGGCTCCAAGCAAGCATTCAGTACAGAGCCTGATGTGGGGCTCAAACCTATGAACTGTGAGATCATGACCTGAGCCGAAGTCAGTCACTTAACCGACTGAGCCACCCAGGCGCCCCTTAAAATTTTTAAAAAATATTTCTTTGAAAGAGAGAGACAGAGACAGAGACAGAGAGAGTGACAGTGGGAGAGGAGGCAGAGAGAAAGGGAGACACAGAATCCGAAGCAGACTCCAGGCTCTGAGCTGTCAGCACAGTGCCCCAAGCAGGGCTCGAACTCACAAACTGTGAGATCATGGGCTCGAACTCACAAACTGTGAGATCATGACCTGAGCAGAAGTTGGACGCTTAACTGACTGAGCCACCCAGGTGCCCCAATTACTAATATGCTTTTTAAAAGTTATGGTGACACACACAATCCCATTTATTTTTTTGCTCAACATAGGGAAGGATTAGTTAGTTCACCTTAATCAGTGAGCACAGAGATATATTCACTGAAATATACGTCTTAGGAGATACACAACACTAAGTTTGGGAGAGCTATCTTCATGGTTATGAAAATAGAGTAGAAAACAGCCACAGAAAGAATGGGAGAGGGAGAGAAGGAAATGAAGAAGAATAAAAGAAAGAAAGGGAAGGAGGGAAGGAAGAAAGGAAACCACCCTCATTGAAAGGAAACCCACTTCACAATGCTGATCAGATTTCTATTTATTCAGCTAATAATGAAGACAAAAATGTTGTCTGGGATCTAGTTTGTAATATTCTGGATTTCTTTTCCTGCCCTCCTTGCCCTTGCCTAGTGAATATGACTTATTTGAAACCTCATGAAAAGTTTCCTTGTAATAACGAACTCCCATGAATCTCAAATCACAGCATCTCAAGGAACTGATGCTCACAATGAAAAGTTACAAAATTCCATTAACTTTAAAGGTCCTATGTCGGTCCTAAGGATTTCGTTGTCCTTGGCTAAAGCTGCTTGTGAAAAGTGCCTTCCAGGTCTATTAGGCTTTTTTCACTTGATTTGTTTTTCAAATACTAGGTATTTACGAAGTTACAGAAGCACCGAAAACTGCTGGTGTAATGCGAGAATTTGCTACTCACGTGTCTGCAAGCAGACCCGCAGCATTTGCCTCTCTGCAAGTGGGCAAGCCGTGTAAGCACCAGATAGCCAGTGGCTGGATCCGTGTAGTTTAGCTGGCCAGCCTGAAGAATAATGCAATGAAACAATTCATTAATCTCAATATTCACCATATCTCCTCACCATAATTTCTACTCATAAAATACTGCAAGATTTTCTTTAAACAATATTAAACTTCTTCCCAGCAATTCTGGTGGCACTTGCAATTAAAGACTGAATGCATTCCAACATTACATACAATCCAACTTTATGTGACATAAGGAGAAAATATACAGTTTGAGAAAAATGAGAAGTTGATGGAAAAACAAGAACTCCTCTATACCCAATAACTATGTAGCCACTGCTCAGGTATTTTTCATTCAGTTTCTAGGTAACAAGTTTAATAACAGGTGATTTAGATGACTTTAAGAGCTTAAGAGGCTGAAAATGAACTTTCACTCAGAAGTTGCAGTTACAATTTTAGTACTTAAAATATGTGGATAATGATTTAAACTTACAGAAGAGGTGCTAATCAAAACCAACAGTCCTTACAGAAAAGTATTACCTTGCTATTATTGGACACTTTACCTTCATGATGTGTTACTCCATTGCACATTTTATACTATTTTCTGTTTTTGGAGTGTTGTTAGTTCTGTTTTTAAGTGAAAAAGGTATTGTTTTAACATATTAACACGCACTGCTTTCACAAGGTTGATCAAAAGCAACTTTTACTACACCACTTCAGACGTCAAGGAAGCATACTCTACTGACATTCAAACTCAGTTTTTAAAAAGTTTCCCAAGTACATGGTATGAAGGCAAAGGACATAATGTGGCCTATCCTGTGAATTTGAGCCATGGAGATGATATTATTTATCCTTGAGATTTTGTAGAGGAACCTTCTCTTGGGCTGTTTATAATAACCCATTGAACCACAAAGTAACACTGCATCATTCATGTATAGAACCTTTTCATTAAACTATGCATGACACCTGAATGTCTTCTAACATACTTTTGTATGTGCCACAAGTTACTTCTTCTGAGTGTCTTCCTTAATGACTAAATAGTTAATCTGGCTGAGAATTTAACCAACTGTGCTTCAAAGATAAGGCATAGAGCAAAAAGACATAGGGTTCAAGTCTAAGTCTACTCTAAGGCATTCCAGCAAAGCCAGACCAGGACCAAAGAAACAAGCAAGCAAGTCTCAAGGCCAGTCTACAGGGCCTCTCAAATCTCTTGGGACCACAGAGGCAGATAACACGAAACCAGGAGCAGTAAACTACTTTAGAACGATCAACTGTCAAGACCTCACTTCTTTATGAAACCTGGGTTTGAAGGCTTGGAAGAAAAGCCAAAAAACACCAAGAACTCTGTCAGCAGCCTTCTTTCCACTTCTCATAGTTTCTGGGAGTCTTCTGAGGGCAATCACCTAGCAACCCAGAAGCCTACCAGATTGCTCCTGCATTTGCGCCCACTCTCCTGATTTCCCTATTGATTGAGGAACTGTGAGCTTATTGGCTGCCCCCACAAACTTGATTTGTCCTCAGTAGATAAGCCTCAGGTAATGGTGGCAACAAGGATATGACAAGAATGCTGACAGTTTACAAGATGTTCCGTGATACAGATCAGCACAGGGAGAAAGAGACCCATCCGCCTTGAGGTGTGGGAAAAGGACCATGGTGGGGGGGGGGGGGGGGGGGGTAGGGCTCTGATTTGTTGAAAAAGAAAAACAAACCTGTTATTGTATTTACTTCTGGTCTCCTTGACATTCATTTCACTTGTGCTCCTGACACTGATGAAACAAATGTGGATTTCCTAAGTGGGAAGAATTTTTCCTTTCCCAGGCTGACTGAACCTGTCTTTACATGCCCCTGCTGTTTGTGCTAAAAAAGATGAAACTTTTGCTTATATTTACCATATTTATATGGTGATGTATGGCAACAAATTACATATGTTATTTTCAATACAGTATAAACAAGAACACTCAAAAGCTGTCTGTCATTTCCTGATGAATCTTTATGCAGAAGTTTCAACACCTGGGGGCGCCTGGGTGGCGCAGTCGGTTAAGCGTCCGACTTCAGCCAGGTCACGATCTCGCGGTCCGGGAGTCCGAGTTGAGCCCAGCGTCTCAGGTTTCTGGGCTGATGACTCAGAGCTCTGGAGCCTGTTTCCATTCTGTGTTCCCTCTCTCTCTGCCCCTCCCCCGTTCATGCTCTGTCTCTCTATCCCAAAATAAAATAAACGTTGAAAAAAAAATATTTAAAAAAAAAAAAAAAAAAAAAAAGAAGTTTCAACACCTGAATGAGCCAAACAGTGGATTCCCAGGGCCTACTGTCAGCAGGGGGAGAAAAGTCAATTTTAGAAAATCTCCAAGGTTTTCTTCTCTACTTCTTTGGTACAAGCAACACCAGATATTAAGGACTGGTCACACACAGTGTGTGTGACCTACTTAATAGGTTACTTTTACATCGCGTTTGTATCTTCATGATAGAGTGCATGTGCTCTCTCAAGATAATAAAAACATAAATATGTTCCCTTTACACTTATGTGGTCTGAGGTGTTAGAAACCGTGGGCGGAAATGGTAAATTGTGATATTGGTACTAATAAGGGATTGTCAAATCCCCAAACAGAGAAAAACATAGCTCAAGATTGTCTAGGAAGAATGTAAACGCCTGATTGTAAACGCCTGATTATAAACGCCTGATTATAGTTTCTCTTACAATTGTGCTGTTAGGGTGCAGAGAAAAGACGAAAGGAGAGCAAAAATTAAATTAAAAATAAGTTTGGTTCACTTATGCATTACTAATATCATTGGATAGCGAAGTGTTTAACTGATGATGCAGATAAACACACAACCTATTTTTTCCTCTGACTTCTCAGCTCCTCTACCTCTTGCATCAATTCCTAACAACCCGCCCCCAACACACA